GTTATCAGTTTTCGTTTATCGTCTGCGCCGTGTCAAACAGCACCTAACATCTAGCAGCATTTGTCGGTTGAACGGATCACATATTTAGGCTCCAACGATTTTTGAAGAAGCTGTTTGTTTTATGAAAGATATCATTCAGTATTACGTTGATCTTTTCCAAAATTAACTTGCCCGCAATTTCATAATGCATTATTCTCATTTCAAACTGGGTCAGGATACTGAAAATAGTCTTGTCAGATGAATGGAAGCGGATCATTAAAATGTTTGGGGCTGAAAATCTGGTAAGCATTTGCTCGTCCGATAGCAGCGTACGGACCCCACAACACAGGTTTTCAGTACCTGATAAAATAGTCTCCCTACTGGGCATCNGCATCCTGCGCAGAGCGAAGAGATCTTTTCAAGCCTACGACCCACTTTTGTCGGTAACAAATTTCAATTGGCTTGCGCTACTGGGACCACGTAACCATGGCGATGTTAGCAGTACTCAGTTCCAAGAAAGCAACCCTGACGACAGTTTAGCGGGGTTTGGCCTAATTTCATCACAAATCAGGTTCATTTGCTCTCTGCACTTTAGGTGACCTCTTTGATCTGCGGTCCGAATCCATTCACTGGAATCTTTCAGCTCAGTGTTGCATGAGATATCGTTTATTCCGGTATTGAAATTAATTAAGATTAACAAGATGCGGTTCCTAATGTTATAAAAGTGACTGAAAATGTTCATTTTACTTCAAAAACTTCCAAACATTTCAAAAGATTTTCTGATTTCCTTCATCTAGTATACATTTAAAGGCTGCATTCTCTGAAAGGCACAATTATTCGAATTCATTCATTCAATGATTCACTCATTCAAACACATACATACATACATACATACATACATGCATACATACATACATACATACATACATACATACATACATACATACATATACCATAACACCTGCATAATTTCCTACGTATTTTCGTGTACGTGGACGCGTAATTACTCCTTTGCATTCATGCTCTCTGTCGTTCCCGAAATCTATGATGCAAAAGTGCAGTTGCACGTGAACTTTTAAAGCTTCCTCCATGAACCATTTTGTTTAACTGAATATGTCATAATCTGTTGAAATAAACTGTTGTTTTCACAATCACCACTGATGACTCGGATAATGAATCGGATGATGATGATGATAATAATAATAATAATTTGGATGCTGATGATGATGACGATCCGGATGACAAAATAGACTAGCTTACCTCCGATCAACATGAATACAACTGAGACAAGTTTTTCACCAAAAGTGGTAGCCGAAACGTTGCCAAACCCGATACTGGTTATGAGTGACAGTGTGAAATAGAGCGATGTCACATAGGTCATCGTTCGTGGAAGTGGGACCACCTGGAGTAGTGAGACAGAACAGGAGATTCATGAATACAAGAGGAATAACATCATGTTGCAGTGATATTATCGTTACAACGGATTCTGCAGTAGGATTTATCACACAGTTACTCTTCAAAGAAATCATGCCAACTGATATCGGCGAACTCAATTAATGGACGTATAGATGATACTGCAAGTTTTGATCACCGCTAATTTGTGATGATCGGGAGGGGGGGGGGACGAGAAAATCACACGTTTGAAACCTGAAAGGTGTTCAAGTGTTGCTCTTAAACATCGGTAAAATAAACTTGTAAATTAAATGAACCTTGTAATAATTTATTCACAGAATTCCACTTTAGAAAACGGAACGCCTTAACAGAATTCAAGGAAGAACCAAGAATAACCGGGCAAAACCGTGTAAGTTGACACAATTCAGTCTCAACAAAGAATTACGCAATGTCTTACTTGAGGAATAGGTCCATTCTCGGGAATCGTTTGTTCGCTAGATAGTAAGAAACTAAAAATAGTCTAACGAGTGACGTGAAGACAGCTGTCAGCCCATTTATAAGATCTTCTAGTTTATGTTACCTGCTCATTTGAATTCGCTGTATGAGTTGTCCATCATCGACTCGTTATTGATGCATTCTAAATCAATCGTGAATTTGTCAACAAATTGGGGATAGTAAAATAGAACACAAAAAGGAAAAAGTGGAAGAAATTTCAAATTTTTCAGAGAAATTTTCTTTCTACGAATAATGGATGTACATAACTGGAGACTGGAAAACGAATAAAAATTCGCATATGTGCGTATATGCGTATTCGAGTGGTTTGGGGATGAGGATGGGGGGGTGGGTGGGTGAGGTGGGGCGAGGATGAGAATAGAAATAACCAATCACATATTGGACTTGCATGAGCATTCTTCAACTTCGTGCTTAACACACAAAACTCAGCTAATCAAAAAATCCATGGTCTGGAGTAATCCTAAATTCGTGTTTCACTCTCATCAGAGTTTATGAGTTGTGCCTATCGACCGATCGATTTGGGAATTGCAATCCTTGCAATCTCTTGTAATCTTTGCTTGGCAATTTCTGATCAGTCCTAACGTGTCAGGTGATCAAGGGTAGTGTAACTGCAACGTCAGGCATGTTGAGGATGCTATCGCTATTGGGGATTAAGTATGAGTCCTGTTTATATCTCACCGGACCTTTTGGTTCATGGTTGCTTTTATTTTTTCAACTTTGCCGGTCGTTTGAAAATCCCCCTGCCACAGAGAACCTTTGAAGTCCCAACCCGAAGAATCGCGGTTCGAGTCCTGACAGGGAAACAAAACGTACGCAATGCTGACGAGTCCCAAACAGGCCGAAACAGCTATCCAGTGCTCTTTGTTGGTTATCACAAACACTTCCATCGAAAGCTGCTTCCAAAGTGAGCGGCACGCTAAATGTGCTAGACGAATGAATTTTTCTATTAGAAATTATAATTCGTTATTCTCCCCTGGGTAATTTCTAAGATAATAAATTGCTGCAACTTCCAAATTTTTTCTTATTCACAGATTAAAAAAACAGTGATTTCTCTTTCTTCATAATCTGAAGTACTTCTTTTTAAAAGTGTCTCATCAAGTAGGCAGATGATCCAGGGTTATCCTCCACCCGATTTATATCATTTTGCGTTATTAGCGAATGTCTAGCCATTGACGAAGGAGACATTTTGTTTTGGCTCCCATTGGTTCCAGACCGTCTCCATTTCACTAGCTTACCAAAATGTAATGAAAAGAAATCGATATGAAATATGATCCCTGATCCGCTCCGGTGAATGGCCGGGCGAGTTCCGTAAACGGTCTATGAGTTGAATGAAATTCTGGCTATTTGTTATTCAATTAATTCAGATACCCTCAAGAAAAAAGTGAACCAGGGCACTTGCACAGTGATGAGATTTTCCTCATCAATGCAGAGCATAGGTTAGCACGTCTGTTTAAATAGTGCACGAATTGCCAAACGTTTCGCGTCTGAACAGAACTTTATCGATATCTACCACTGTATATGCTAACCAAACAAACTATGGGGAAAGCGAGTACTGAATGATTCTGCACAGTCGATCGATGCTTTCAACCTGCCCACATAATGAATGATCAATGTGAGGAAGTTCGCATGTATCTGTTAGGTGTGTTTCGGGGCGGGGAGGGGGGTAATTGGTCCAGTGTGAACCACTCATGAACGTGAATGAAAAGAGGTGTGATCTTTCTAGGGATCCGTTGGTCACTCATATGTCATGTTCAGTCCGAAGAACATTGACATAACAATGTGCTGTATGCGAATACATTTTAATAACTCATCAATATAGATAGATAGATAGATAGATAGATAGATAGATAGATAGATAGATAGATAGATAGATAGATAGATAGATAGATAGATAGATAGAT